AAATACACTATCGCTTGCTATCTCAATTTCTGGATCACTTCATCGTGCAAGAAGCTATCAACAACTCCGTCGTCCGCTGAGAGACAATTGGCGGAGAGTTGGGACCACTCCTCGAGGTTATCGTGTACTCTCTTCGGGTACGCAGCCTTGCACCACCAAATTTGTGCACCAACCAGCTTTGAAAGGAACGCCTAGCATATTTCCGGATGACCACCAATCAGCCGCGGATTAAGCCATCTGTCGGTAACCAGCCCATGACATCATCTTGATTTAAATATTAAGAGCTTTACGCCACCACATCCTGACGCGAATAGCCCGTAGAGTAATAGTTAATCACCACTGAACGTTGCATCGAATCATCACTTCATACCCTGGTTTTGGCTCGAACTGTAACTTGCCGATAACGGACTGTGACCAACCAGCCCAGGGCGCCGGTGGAACTGCGTGCATCCTGCCTTGCACCACCAGATGGTCACTTTTAGCTCACAACATTGGGGTTAGGTTTCAGAAAGCATAGTTCTGTTCCAAAAATCTATCGTCCTTCGACGAGCGACTTCTGGTTTACATCCATGAAGAGGTTTGGTCCCTGTGGCTTTCAGCAAGTAATCATGTTGACTAATTTGCTCTGCAGCATGCTTGCGCACGGGGTGAAGTATGAAAATTATGCTGGTATTGGGCAATGCTGGGCTATTTCAGTCGTCCCGTGCACGGCTGCTTTCCCTCTACTGCATGTTCTCGGTGCTTGCACTAAACTTTTGGAGTCAATAAATATTGTGAAATAATGTCCGGAATGGTCATCTATAAGGGTCAGGGGACAGAGGACACCACAAAGCTCCGCAATGTAAATTGATGCATTGGGATTTAGTCATATTGATATTGTTGTTCTGTTGATTGCAGCCGCACATTCCACTGCACCATTCGAATTTGTGCCGTCCGTGTAAAAGTTTTTTCATCGCGGCCGTCTGTAACGAAGACTTCAGTGGAAGGTTTTGATCCGGGCATAAGGTACTGATGAGAATTCGCTACTTGGGATTATCCTCGAAAGTGAGGGCATAACCTGCATTTGTTGGACCTGTGCTGCTGTAAAAAGTACTCCGTAGTCTTCAAATTATGGGGTGTTTAGGGAAATGGGTTCGCTTGAAAATGGACTTAGTCCGCTTTCTGCATGGAGGTTGGTGGTGTTCTGAATGCTCAATTGCGTATCCTGATGGCAGCGTTGAGGAGTGAGTATAGTAAAGCTAGTATGGTGTTTTTCTGGCATATTGGTTCATGGTGCATCCATATCCGAACTGTCTCCAAGTATGGTTATTTAAAGGCAAAGCAGGGTTAGGTGGCAGCCGATTCCGAGATCCCAACAAATTTCATCGTATTTTAATATACAAAAATGATAAATTGAACAAGAAAAACGAGTAGCCTCCAATGCAACTGGCCGGGAGTATTTAACTTCAGAGCATCTCAACAGAAAACTAAGCTTTGATGCTTGGACAAGACTCACAAGTCGCAACCATAAAGTGTCTGACCACACGCCAACCTTCAACATTCCCAACCGCATGCCAACCTCCAACGTATCTGACCACACGACAATCTTCAACGTGTCTGACTATACACGCACAACCTTCAAAGTATCTGACCACGCGCCAACCTCCAATGTCCGACGTATATCTGACCACACGCCAACCTTCAACGTATCTGCCTACTTGCACAACCAAACCAACTTCACTTGAAATCAGCTATCATCTTTAATGTTTTTTGAGACGTCGTTGTGAACAAAGCATCTCGTTAAGAAAACTCTTCAAATGATATTATCAGATGCGCCTTTCATTAACATTATTTATAAAACCTCATGACTGATCGACTGCTGTCATTTTGTTAGCTTGCTGCACTTGGACCAACACGCCTGAGTTAGCTTCCTGCACCTGGACCAACACGTCAGCAGCTCGTATAATATGAAGGTTGCTTTGCGAGGGCACAACTGAGCACATCAGTCCTTTTGCTCCACCTATATCCCCAGTCCTTTTGCTCCACTTATATCCCCTAATCCTATTGTTCCACTTATGTCTGTCCGGGCGTAGTTTGTGGATACAAATCCACATGTGTTTACAAGCAGATCTATAGTTAGATGCTGAGTCGACAGCTAATACAAAATGTCGCACAATTACTGTCTCAGAATGTACCAATGTCGCAGAATCTACCTATTTGCTAATAGTGCGGCACAAAAAAGATGAACGCTGCGAATTAACGAAAACCTCGTTAGATTAGGGTTAGATTTAGGGTTAGAGGTGTAATAAATATTTTTTTAACAAATTTTTTACGATTTTTCTTAGGTCGTGTCCAGCCAGAAAAGATTCTTTGACCGTAAAGAAGTAATTGAAAAACGTCAACTGATCATTGTCGCAGTCTTTCCAATATTTATATATAATGCTGGGGTTCAAAATTTCTTTCAGTGAATTTGCTGGCATGTATTGTTCAGTTGATAGCATATTGCCTATGATTAATAATGACTGATAGTTTTACAATTCATTAATGTAAAATCCAACCTTATTTCATCGAACTTTTTAGAAAGACTTTCTTGCAGAATTTGATGCTGATCAGCAATATTTTGCTTACAGATCAAGAAATGTAAGGTCGGAAATCTTAAGCCAACCGAAATCACCGTACGCTCAACGAATGGAGGCAATGAGTTCCTTTAATGAGACAAGCGATCTTATTAATGAGTTCAGAGAGCAATAATGTGGTTCACTCAGTTTGCACTTATGAAACTTTCATACTGCGCAAGAAAGCTGAGCTTCAGTTAGTTAGTTAGTTTAGTGGCCAAATGTTTACTAGCGCTACACTATTTAGCCATCAAAGTCAAGATAAACAGACATTTCTGACGCAATGTGATCATATTATCCAATGTTATTGAGATAACAGTGAAGAACAAAGCTGAACTTGATAACTCGACTGTTAAGGTTAAGAATCGCACATGTGTGATGTTATAATAACTTGATAGATGTTTAAATAATTATGCAGTACTATTTTTAAAATATTTATTGTATTTTCCAGGAAAATTGCGAATTACCTTTATTTGATTTGTGGAACATTGATTATTTTCACCGATGTTGGGATGTTAAACCAATTACTAAGCGTATTATTTCACTGCTTTGATAATACATGTTGCTATCATTGGCGACCTGTGAACAGGATATTCAAAACGTTTTACATTTGATTTATTAGCCAGTAATTTATCAGAAAACATTGAGTTATTCTCTGAATATAAGATTTACGATGCGAAGAATATTTAGATATCATGCAACAGGCAGTATTCTGCTAGCATTCCTCCAAAGCTGAGGTGTTTAGCGTACATGCTTTGCCATTCAAATTGTCGGAATCATTTTCTCTAAGGGAGAGTGGGGATGAGAAAGGAAAGAATCTTGACCATAAAAATAATTGTAATAATTTCGGATGAATACGTTGATTTTCAAATTTTAATTTTAACGCAAGGGCGCAGTAGAATGTGGCGTTAAATACCCTAAGATTGTTTTCCAGATTCCAAGTTATAATTTCTTCAAAATTGCGCTGAATATGAACTTATTATTCCTACAAATGTTCGTTCATTTTTTCCCATGCGGTTATGAGAAGAAATTTCTTCCAAATTTGTTATTAAAAATATTTAAAGTTGCAGTTTAATCGAGGTAAAAGATGTGATTGAGACGAGGGTTCTAAAACAAAGTATTTTCTTGATTTTGTATCCTAAGATCGAGGACGACCTTCTCCTAAGAGGGGTCGTGTCGGTAAACAGCTTTTGGTTATAAATTTTCATGTGTTTACCAGCAAAGCAAATTAGATTTGAGTCCAATATTTCTCCTAGACCTTGCCTCAGGTGTGTCTAAACGAACGTGATGACGAACGTGTGTCTTGGCGAACGTGACGAAGAACGTGTTCATGTGTAACGAGGACAAGAGCTCTGTGGGCTGAAGCAGCACGTCTATAAAAGAGCTGGGCACTTGAATAGGCCTCCAGTAGCTTGCACGACCGCAGCGATGTTAGTTCTCATTGTAGGAGTGTGGCGGTCGAAGGTTTAAGTCGTGTACGTCTGTAATGACACATTCTATCTTGGATAAGTCTTGAATGGAATGTGTCTTACCTATCCGTAGAAATAGAAGTCAATTAATACATCTATAAACATAGCAGAATTTGTTTATGGTACTATACGATAAACTCAAACTTGTCCTGTGGAAATACAAACTTTCTTTTGACCAGCGCAAGCAATTATTTTTCCTCTATTAATTTATTAATGTATATGTCTGATTTATTGCACTAATTGAAATGTTGGACTAGGCATCTCGCTAATAAATTTGTAATTGTTAAAATCATCGATGTTTATAGTTTTTCAATAACATTTTTTGTAATTCATTTATACACATGAAGTTGCTCGACTTACCGGAACATCTTTGAGTATATATTATCGCGCACTGAAATTGATGCAGGTTGAAATGTTTCCCCGACGTTGTAAGAAGTCCCGAGCATTTGTTCATGATACAATTAATTTGGACTTAATTCAAGGTACAACTTCAGGAATTCAGCAGTTGCTTCAGAGCGCCTGTACCATATTTTTAACTTGTAACTATGAGTATTTGTATAACGTTCAATGCAAATTGAATAGTTGTGAGGTAAAAGTTAATTAACAGGTATATTAAATTATTGTTCGTAAATAAAAATAAATTATGCCACATAGCTGAAGTGACAAATGGCATGAGGGTAACCATACCTTAATCAGGCAACCAGAATAAAAATTTTGAGAGGCCCTATTTTTATTTATAATTGGTTTCAAAACTTTTGAGTCAGAAGCACCTCCCAGCCCGATCTCTTTCAAGGTGTAGAGGCTCTATATAAATGAGCAAATTCATTTAGTTTGGTGAGGTGTGGCGACTGTGGCGCCGCAATAAGTCACGAAATAATGCTTGAGTTAATGACACTGAAATAATGAACCGTAATTTATAAGATCTTGAGCGAACAGTGATTTCTTCATTTAAGGTGTATATATTTTTGCAGATGCATTCCCTCGCCGCCGTTCTCTTGGCTGTGATCAGCCTGAGCGCTTCATGCCACGGCAAAATTTACACGAAGTGCGCACTTGCCAAGGAGCTGAAATGCGTCTACGGCTTTGCGCAGAGCAGCCTCGCCGACTGTGAGTAAATCTCTACGTATTTCGTTTCCATTAAAAAACTGAGGACAGTTTCACAAAATTCAGAGTATGATAGTATCATTTCCTTGCAATTAGAAATATCCCACTTATAAAACTAATTCCCTACCTTTCCTCTCTGAACAGGGGTGTGTCTGGTACAGCACGAGAGCTCCTTCAATACCGCGGCTGTTGGACAAAACAAGGGCAGTAAAGACTATGGCTTGTTCCAGGTAAATCATACTATCGTGTCATCATGGCACCTAATGCGCGCTATGCTTGTTAAGGAAGAATTCTAATATATATCGGCAGGGTGGCCCAGTGGTTACAGTTCAGAGTACCAAGGCTGGCGCAGAGAGGCGCGGGTTCGATCCCAACTCTGTGCGCCAGTTTCTGGTCAGAATCGGTGAAGAGGCCGGGCGGTTAAGCAAAGCAAAATTGAAGCAGTGAGTTGCGCGTTCGAGACCGCAACAAGCTGTGAATGTTCTGCGATGTTAAGAATCGGCGACAGGCCTACGGCCTAATAAACGCTGAAACTGCTATATTATTATATTATATTATAAGTGTCCAAGCGGAACTAGAGGAAATGTCGGGAGGAAATTTTGAGCAGAGTGACTTACAATACGATTAAATTAATGTCAGTGATCAATCCAAGTTTTAATTGTTCGGTTCGGATGAAAACAGTTTTTATTGAGAATCTTGTATATTCGTGTTGGAGCATAATTTACTTCTCTGCGCAGATCAACGACTACTATTGGTGTAATTCGGGCACAGGCACCAACGACTGCAACATCAATTGTGATAGTGAGAATTTGTTGTGCTTAATTAGTCAATAGTTGCTATCTGATAGTGAATTAAAAGTTACGAATGGGCCCAATAAGAGAATCGTGGCTTCAGTTAAATTTTCTGAAACACAAAAGTAAATAAACTACAAATTTTTCTCGTGCAAATACTTCTCATGGAAGCCCATATTTATTTTAATTTAATTAATTGGTTTCCACATTCAAAACTGTAACTAACTGATTTTTAATTCATTTACGTTAGCTTAGAATGTGTTTTTTTTTTCGAAATTCAGAACTGAAGGACAACAATATTGCGGACGACGTCAAATGCGCCAAGAAGATTTTTGCGCGCCACGGCTTCAACGCCTGGTACGGCTGGAAGAACAACTGTAAAGGCAAGAACTTGTCCTCCTACACCAGTAGCTGCAGCCTCACTTGCTGAGCGCCGCTGCTTCGTAAACTGATGGATCTTCCTGAGAGATGATCGGCATTTAATGATTTAGTTCCATTTATTTAACATATTTATTCCATTTATAATTGTGTGCATTCTGCCTCTACAGCGCATGCTCAATGCGCTAACTTGACATTTTAACGCTATTTGATTATATTTATTTGCCCCAATATTGACTGATTTATGAATTGCTCTGTAATCTCTATATCATATGTGTTTCTGCATCATAAAATAAACCCAGGGTAAAATATGCCTTTTATTGTCCATGTTATTCCTTATTATTAAAAAAGTTGTAAGTATCTCTTATTAGACAGTATATTAATTTAAATTTGATTTCCTTTCTGCGGTACATTACACCCACATCCGCATTGCTTTAAATTTGAAAGCTCTATATTACAACGATTCTATCAAGCATGGGTTGAGACCTTATCCATTTTGAATTTTTCAAAGTCACATTCACGCTTCATTCCCTCATAGCTTTCAAACCGATATAGTCATAGAGAAACGATTTGTTATCAATAGCGACGATTTAAACTTAGTTTTCCAGCAATTTGTTGAGCATATTCTCCAGCTGTGCGGAATATGACAATCGCGGCCGTCTGTAACGAAGATTTCGGTGGAAGGTTTGATCCGGGCATAAAGTAATGATGAGAATTCGCTACGTGGGATTATCCTCGAAAGTGACGGGCATAACCTGCACCTGTTGGACCTGTGTTGCTGTAAAGAGTACTCCGTAGTCACAGCATTGGTGTTAGGTTTTTCGGCAAGATCTTCTGAAGGCGGAAATTTTGCCGATAATGCGTCGCCGTAGGTCTTTAAATCTTCGTTCACTCTCTGCACAGTGGTTTGGGGCATAGTGACAAATCAGAGATTTTTTAGAATCAGATCATTTTTAATTTCCTCATTTACCTAAGATTTAAACCTATTACTTATGCATGATAAGGCTGATATGAGTGGTATCCAGGATACTTTACTAGTCTACTTATAGGACTCAAAAATGAACTTGAAGTTGAAGGAGAGTCTAAAAAAACTCTCTGCCTTGCCACTATGATTTGGGGTAACATGTGTATGTAACCTTGTAAATAAGTTTGTGGCTTGTAAATACTTTTCCTTACTTAGCGAAGTTAGCGTAAATGGCTTTTCATTAAAAATTACCTGGCGACACATCTTGAAAATGGTCGGCAACACTTTGGGCTTAAAAACCCATACCTATATTGGCGATGCTGCTTGAGTGGCAGCCTGCTTCCACCTTCTGCACCATGGCTTCCACAGTCCACTTTCTGCACCCTGGAGCATTGGGTGATTGGGCCATGGGCCATCAGGCACAGGCCATGGCCCATGGCCGCCGCCATGGGTGGTTTCTGCCCAATTTTCCAGTTAAGATTTCATGGATAGAAATAAAAGGTTGTTGAAATTAAAATCTCTAAAAGTAATATTAGTTGAAACTTGAAATTTAATGTGAAGAGACCAACCTTCTGTTTAATATCACTTTCTTTTCTTCGAGATGCATCACAGTGGCTTATGATTAAGCAAATAAATGCAAATAACACAGAAACAAAACTGATTCTTTTCAGCATGTTGAATCAAAGTAGCAATATAGATGGACATTTACTATTTTTAAAATTATCCAACACAAAAATATAGGCCATAAATAGTTGCGCCAAGATCGCTGCGCTGTAAAATTGACAAATTAAATGACAACGTGACCGACTGATTAATGACAACCTAACAGGTGAACAGGTGATTTCATCAGAATGACGTTCGCTAACATCCGGACCCGCGGATAAAACATAAATTATTGAACATCGACAATAATTTATTCTCATATGTGACGCGAAAAATATCATCTTCGACTCAGTAAACATTTTCTAGAGAGAGTGTCAAATAATAATTACACTCTTGATTTAGCAAATTACTTTGGGGCTAATAATATAATATAGCGGTTTCAGCGTTATTAGGCCGTAGGCCTGTCGCCGATTCTTAACATCGCAGAACATTCGCAGCATTTTGCGGTCTCGAACTCGCAACTCACTGTTAAAATTCTGCTATGCTTAACCGCCCGGCCTCCTTGCCGATTCTGACCAGAAACTGGCGCACAGAGCTGGGATCGAACCCGCGCCTCTCTGCGCCAATCTTGGTACTCTGAACTTTAACCACTGGGCCACCCTGGCCAGTGGTTAAACCCCACCCCACCCTTCTCAGTTATTGAACTAAAAACCGCTGGAACACAGAGTAGTAACTATATTTTACATGTGAAAATGCTTCCCTTATGCCCTCCTAAAACAAAGGCCCTATATTGACAATCATTCCGCTCGGACAAAAGGGAGAATGTGGATCTGTGTAAAACTGTTATTAATTTCAACTAGTGAATCCTCACTGCAGATTGTTAAAGACATGATGGGACGGAGTGGTTGCAAAGGAGGCCATGAGTCATGGTTGAACTAATACAAGGTTGCTCCACGCGCAGCTTCGCCTTGCGGATGTCATCTGTTATTCCAGCCGTGATGTCACCTTGGTCGTTGTGACGTCACCGTGTGATTAAAACTGACTTGTAACACCTATTTTGCTTAACCCTCTACCGCCTGACATGAGTAACCAGAGCAATATTGTCACAAGCTTACTTCCTAAAAAGGATACGTTCTAGTGAGCGCAAAATGACTTGCACTGATGGTTGCCGCCACGTACGACAACTTTGAAATATTCTCTGATGCGTTCAAACGTCCTCAGGTTGCTACACTTAATAGTTTACGTATACTTTAAGTTGAAATTTATTATACCGGAGACGGAGAGTGACATACGGCGGTAGAGGGTTTGAATAAGACTAGTTGCAGTATATTAATTTTTTTGGACCATTGTAATGAGGTTAATTTTTTTCATGGTTGAACTAATACAAATTTTTCCCTACTGCAGCTGCTCCTTGCGGATGTCATTTGTTATTCCAACTGGGACGTCACCTTGGCTTTTGTGACGTCACCTTGGCTTCTGTGACGTCACCTCATAACGTCAAACTGATTTGTAACACCGGATCTGCTTAAAAATTTTCGTTTGAGGAACGAAAACAATCTAATTAGAGCTCGGAGTTTTAGGCTGTTTGCTTTTAACATGTTGAAAGCTCTATTTGATCTTTGGATTGTTTCTTCCTCGAATTTAATCGTATCAGTAAAGAAAAAAGGAAGAAAGCTCTGGGGATATAATTTCCGCCTTTGGCAGCTTTTCTTCCGTTGACCTTGAGCGGCGCCGCAGTGTAGGCGCGGCCTGCATGCTTCTCTCAATCGCAGCACTGTCCGCGTAATAAAGTTTGGGGAGGAGGGACTCCCTCTCCGACGAGGAAGGCCCTCTCTCTATGGATGAATTGGGGGGACTTCTCTGAAGATGACGAGTCCTCTCTGCCGGAGGAATCTTACACGGTCCATCAAGCCGCAAGCCAGGGGTGTCCGCCGCTGGTATGCCAACCAGAAGCGCCCCTGATTGCGCAACCAGCGGCTCCACAGGTCGTGCCCCAACAAACGCCCCTTCAACTTTAACCACTGGGCCACCCTGCCCTGGGCCATGATTAAGATGTTTTATGTGTGACAGAGGGGAGAGGAAAACTGTGGAGCATCTGATGATGGAGTGTGATGCATATGAGAGGGAGAGACTGGAAATGATGGGAGTAACACTGGATGAGACGGATGAGGGTAACGGTATGATGGTATGAGCGAACGGGAGACGAATAAATTACAATGAAAGTGGGTCTGTCAACAGGGGTGACTGCTGCTATGCGTGCTTCGGCACAACCACACAGACAAACGCGCAGGCGCAGAACAGACTGAAGTGTTTATAATCGCCTGGCCACCCCTCTATCACTGCCTATCCCGGGTATTAACTGTTAAGCCACGACCAAACACTCAAACTTATCGTCACTTTTGCATGGTATACAAAACTGAGAGTTTACAACAAGAAGTTTGCAAAAGTTTGGCAGACAAGACAGAAGACAGGCGAGCTTCCACACAATTCAAAGTTTTCTTCAGTTTAGTGCGCTTTCGGAAATAGAGGAGGTTACCAGAAATGCAAAAGCTACACCATGCAACGTTTGAACGTGAGTCATGATAAATGTGTGCTCATTCTCCAAGCAAACTCGTGCAACATGTTTTTAGTTATGTTACACATGCTGTTAAAAATATACTCGTAGAAATTAGCTACCACAAAAATAATAATTCAATTAAGCAGTGAAATAGATCATGCTTGACGGAAATGTTGCCAGCTTATAACGTGCATGATTCTAAAAACTCCTGGCGCATTCTCCACTCGGCAGTTTGCCCAGTTCATTGTGTGTGTCATTCAAGTAATGACCTATAATAACAAACTGACTCGGAACAAAACTGACTGCTCTCGCCCTCACTCTTCGTGCATGGGGTTTTCTTATTTCTTTATTAATTTGGTTGCTTCTCTGCAATAATAAATTTATTATCCTGATAATGATAATATATATAAAATATATATTTAATATATAATATGTATATTATAATATATTCGAATATCATATATGCAAAATATTTCCCCGAAAGTCTATACCTATAGATATTTGAACCAGGCTATTTAGACAGCATATATACATTGGTACAGAGACGAAATTTGAATTCTGCCAACCTACATCATGTTTGCAATAGCACCAATAGATTAGGTGATTTTTATATTTGTGATTGACTTAACTCACAAATCAACGATACCATCACCTCCAAAGTATCACCTCCAAAGTAAGGATTGGTCCCATCGTCACGACCACCAAAAGTCCGGATGAGAGTAGTACCAGCGCCCCAATGGGCTATTTGAGAAATTCATAAGCCGAAGCGGGATATTAAATTATTATGAACGACTAAAGGTATTTTATTAACAACGCAAATACCTAGTAAATTCTATCACTGCCTATCCGGGGCAGTGTAGTATAGTGGAATGGTAGCTGAACTAATTAAAAGGCGTCTCAGTGGTTACAGTTCAGCGTACTAGGGAGCAATGAGCTATTTGTTCGACCAAAGCTGTCTGCGACAGTTCTCTAGTGGTCTAATTAAATGTCATCTGAATTAAATTCATCCAGACAAAAAAACGAGATAATAATTGATTATGAGAATATTTATATTTATAAATAATTGATCGTTATGAGGTCTTTTTAGTATAATAAATATTGTTCATGACAATTATCATTCACCGAATACTAAATTTATAGCAATATTAAATTTTTTAATTGAATAAATGAATTTAAAAATATATT